ATCCTAGAAGACCCCTCACCTCTTACTTGTCTCCTGTTAACTTGCTCTGCTCCAGACATACCACTTTTCTCTGGGCCCTGATGTCAAGCTGCCTTCCACCCCAGGACCTTTGCACTTGCTGTTGCCTTTTCCTCAGTTTTCCCCCTGGCTTCTTCATGACTGACTCATTCAGGCCTCAGCTCTCAAAGGCTACCTCCTCAGTGAAACTTTTCCTGACCACCTCCCTCGAAGACACCAGCCTATTTCATTTTCTTCAGGACACTCACTCTAAAACAGTCTTGTTCGTTTGTTTACTTGTTTACTGTCTGTCTCCCCACTAGAACATGAGGTCCTCAAGGGCAGCCACCCCTGCCTTGTTCACAGCTGTCCCCTTGGGGCCATGAATAGGCACCTGGCATATACAAGGTGCTCAATAAGGGCTGGATGAATGACTATGTTATTCTAGTCATTTCACTAGAGGAAGCCCTAAAGTTTGGGGGGGGGGCAGGTGGTATGGGCAGAGGTGGCCTGTCTCTAGCAGGAGTTCTTCTATGTGCCTCCTCCCCCAAAGGTGACCCTGCCACATGGAGCCCAGGAAGTCCCAGCGATTGGGGCAGAACACCACAAACCAAGACCCACCCAACAGGGAGCAAAAACGACCTCTGCACATTCTGTTACATCCCATGCTACTTCTTCATGTTAAAATGTCAGGATAGATGAGCAACAGCAGACCCCAATCCTGCAGTTGTGGGGCGACTGGGATGCCCCAGCCCGGCTCCTGGACTCCAGGGCCTGTGGGCACACTGACGACGCGCCTCCAGGTGTGGCGGACCTGGCACCCACTGCCCCTTCCTCAAGCAACAGGATCCATCTCTTCCTCTTGGGGACTTGCCCTCCCCCATTCTCAGGTCACATGGTCCAGGGGGGCTGACCCTACCTTCTCAGGGGTTGAGGACACTAACTCAACCCTGGCCGGTGGGAGGGTTTTATCTCCCCGGGTACAAGTGGCTGCAAGTCGAAGCGGGCAGGCGCCCATTTTGCCTGCCTCAGAATGAAAAAAGAGACAGACCCCTGGGGCCAGGCCCCGTGTTCCAGGCTGGGTCTCTTCGGTGATCTGAGCCAAATACCCCTTTCCTTCTTCAGCCACCTGGCATGGAGTTTGGTCCAGCTGCCACCCCTCCTAGCCCATCCTGCTCTGTCTTCCACTGCTGGCCCCCGGCCCCCCACTCCCAGAGCCCACTGCACTCTCAGATTATGCTCCATGCCTGGAACAGTTTTCTCCACTTCGTAAACCCGGTAAACTCCTACTTGTCCCTGCTCAGGTCAGATCCCACCTCTTCCAGGAAGCCTTCTCTGATTCCCTCAGACACAGGTCACCTGTCTTCTCCCACACTCCTACCACATCCAGTAGGTTTCTCTGGGAAACCTGTACTCACTAGGTCCTGCCCGCCTAAAAGATTTTGTCAAGCTTTATATGCCACAGTCATATTATGAAAATAGGGATTTTTCTTTTCTCTCCAAATACAAAATGATGTTTTAACAGTTAATGTAAATTTTCAATCAATGCCTACCGCTATCCCAGACATTCTGAATTACTCCCCCGGAGAGATGTCTTCCCCACCCTGATTGAAAAGCTGCAGCAAAACATCCCTCATTGATTCAGTAAATATCCACGTGCCCCCCCCTTGGTGGAAAGCATCGTGCTGAGCACTGGACACACAAATTATAGAAATGTGTTATAATCATCCCTTTCTCTATACGAGTTAGGAAAATGCAGGGAAGGTTCCTGCCAAACGGTTTAGCTGACATTACTTTGGAAGCTGGCATTCGAGGGACAGATGGGGGACTCTCCCTTAGTACTTTATGTAATTTTTAAAATGACAGGTCTAGGGGTGTTTTTGACTTTCTTAGTATTGTTCAAGTAAAACATTTCTTAGTGGTTCGTTGGTGTGTCTGTTTCCCTAGAAGACTGGGAGCCCTGAGGGGGCAAGGAAGGGTCTGAGTCATTCCTAAGCCTTTAGCTTCCCACCAGGGCCTGACACACGGGAGGCCGGCAAATGTCTGAAATGACCACAGGACAGAGCGGAGCGGGCATGGGAAGCAGATGGGTGGGCGCAGGACACGGGCTGAGGAAGAGAGGGTCAAGCCCAGGGGTAAGACAGCTGGAGCTGCAGTGGGCAGCTAAGGCAGGAGGACTGTGGTACCCACTGCAGCTGGTTGGCACGGTGCCTAGAGCTCTTGGTGGTACGGGAGAAACATTTGTCTGTTAGGGAAATGAGGTCACAGGGTGACAGAACTCCCCGAAAACAACCTTGGCCAAGCTTTGCAGTTGCAAAAGGCAGACCGGAGCAGATGGGAGCTGGGAAGGGAGGAGCGAGAGGAAGGGGTTGGAGGAGGCCTTGAGAATCAGTCTGGGCTGGACAGCAGGTGGCAGGGAGCTTGGAGGAGGTGGTTCTAGGAGTGTAAGAACAGAAGGAATGCCTGCTGCTGGCCTGCACGAGGCTGCTCTGTCCCTCCTCCCTCCCTGGAGTCGTTGTCCCTTCCACAGACACTTCCTCGGGCATATGTGGACTCAGCACTGGTGATTAGGGCCGGAAGCAAAGGAAAAGGGCTGGGGGCCTCTGGAGAAGGCAGGAGGCAGGAAATCAAACCAGCTGGAGGGAGGGAAGTCTTGGAAGACTTCCTGGAGGTGTGGGCTCCCAAGCTGAGGCTTAAAGGCTGAAAAGCCGTCCAGGTAAAGGGAGGGAGCCAACTTCCAGGCAGACAGGAGAACAGGAACAGGGGCAGGGATACTTGAGACCTGGGGGAGGGAGGAGTCCTGAGCGTTGGGGTTGCTCCATGGAGAGCTGTATGTGCTGAGAGGCATTTCCCTGCTGCTGGGCTCTCTGGGGGGTGGTGGTGGGGGGAAGTGGGAAGGATGGCTTCAGCCTGCTGAAGGACGGCAGCAGCCCCAGATCATGTGGTCCGAGCCCTAACTCCCAGGCTGCTCTGCCCCTTGGGGTGACCTCGCCAGGGATGAGGATTTGTGGATTCAAGGTCACTGTTAGCCTGCTACAAAGGCAGCACCTGCCAGACTCTAGTTACAGTTACCGTGGCGAGCCAGGCACCACGGGGCTAAGTCTGGAAGAGCCGTCACAGAGCAGTGGGCACAGATTGTTCTGTGTGTCTCCGCAGAACCAGGCCCAGAAGCGGGAAGCTCTAAGGAGGCAGACCCAGCTCAGCGTTAAGGACAGTCTTCAGTGGAAGAGCTGGTCAGTAGTGGAATGGGCCCATTGGAAGCTGAACTCTGTCAAGGGACAAACTTGTGGGCACTGGACACCTTCTCTGTGTAGACAGCATCTGCCCCCGGGGTTTCATGGAAGGCGGTGGATAGAGAGAAAGAAAAGCGATCCAAAGAGCAGTCATTGTGGGGAACACAGGGTTAAGGGACGTTAAACAAGGTTCCTTGCTGCAGGACTTCTCAGGACCTTCACTGCGCTGGAACATGGGCCACAGACTCAAATGCTTACGGAACCCAGGCAGATAGCACAAGTGGGTGACAGGGAAAAGTGTGGATGGAGAGAGCAGGCCCAACAGGAGGGGATGCTCTGTTCTACCTACTCTGTTCCACAGACTATCCTTACAGGAAATTTGTGGGCCACTATCTTGGGTTGAACTGGGTCTCCCAAAAAGATGTGTCGGAAGTCCTAACCCCTGGTGCCTGTAAATACAACCGTATTTGGAAACATGGTCTTTGCAGATGTAATCAAGTTAAATGAGGTCATTAGGGTCCGCCCTAATCCAACGACTGGTGTCCTTATAATAAGAAGGGGAAATGTGAACGCGGAGACAGACAGGCACAGACAGAGGATGGCCCTATGACCAAAGAGGCAGAGATTGGAGCGATCCATCTAGAAGAATGCCAAATATTTCTGGCACTACCAGAAGCTAGAAGAAGCAGAGAGAGATTCTCCCTAGAGCCACCCAGTTTGTGGGGCTTTGTCATGGCACCCCGGGAAATGAATACAGCCACGAACTCATGATTCAGTATATGCCAGAAGTCTCCAGAATGGCCAGAGCAGATGCAGCATTCCCTGACCCAGTGGCCAGGGGCCCCTTTTCTGAAAGAGCATCTCTCACTGGATACGCCAGAGCACACATTATAGGGCACTGGCTCAGAGTCTCAGCCTTTCCTTCTGGGCCCACATGGGCACCATTCCACGGAGGTGACTCCTCGTTTCCTCAGCCGGAAACTGAGGATAATGGGCCAACCTCCCAGGTGGCTGGGAGCCCTCAGTGAGATACACAGAAAGCGCTTAGCCAGGCACACCATCACATGGAGGACATCCTCCCTCTGAGCATCAATTTACCCCACGGAGACACGGGTGGCAGCATCCCCCGTGGCTTCCTGGCACATGACCGGCCTTCAGAAGAGTCCACGAAGACCGGTCAGCCCCCTGCACACCGTGCTTCTGCGGGCCCTGCTCTGGGGCCTGCCTGCCCCCCAGGGCTGCCCTTACCTGTGCTGTGAGCTGGATGGGCTGGGAGAGAGTGAGCTGTGGGGTCCCAGGGGGCTGGCTGGCAGGCTGTGGAGGTGGCAGGTCGCCCCCCCCAGAGGAGGCTGGGGGCTGTGAGGTCGAGGAGGAGGCAGAGGAGGCAGAGGAGGAGGAGGAGGAGGAGGAGGAGGAGGAGGAGGCGGCGGCGGCGGCGGCAGCGGCACTGGATTGTTGCACGGCGGCGGCCAGGAGCTGGGCCTGGGCTTGCTGCAGGAGGAGCTGCTGCTGAGCTGGCATCAGCGCTGTGAGCTGTGGGGCGCGGGCGGCAGGGCCAGAGGAGGGGTGGGGGCGGGGGAGCAGAGAAGGCAGAGAGGGGTTAGTGCCCGAGCCAAGCAGGGCAAGTCCTCCAGGAGGCCTGAGGAGGGCAGGAGGAGGGCGTGAGAGAGTGGTGGTGGCCCTGGCGGGACACCCCCTGCCACGGGTCCTGTAACAGATGGGAGGCGGCTGGTCGAGGCCCACGTTCCCTGTCCTTCCCCGAGTACTTACCCCGGCTAGCTGGCTGCCCGTCAACATGAGTTGGGCCTGGGGCAGATGCGGCTGAGCCGGCTGGGGAGGCGGGGGTGCTGCTGGGGCTGAGTCGCCACTGGGGTCTTCAGCCTTGATCTGGGGGGGAGAGAGGCAGGGTCCGGGACCCCAGAATGTTAAGTGGAGGCCAGAGAGAATGCCCACCTGTGAACCAAAGAGAGGGCACGTGTGTGGCAATGGCAGCCTCGGGCCGGCACAGGAGGAGTAGGCTGGTGGGTGTAGAGGCAAGGCCCTGCGCCAACCGACTGGGGATCTTAGGCCCCCCCTCTGTCCTCAGGTTCCTCATCAATCAGTAGGGCTAACACACCCCCCTGCACCAAATAGGAGAGGGGCACCTTTGGAGAGCAGTTTTCCCCTCTGGGGGTGGGGGTCAGTTTCCCCATCTGTAAAATGGGGAATGTGCCAGCAGAGGACTCAGGGCATCAAAGAATAGCGTTCTAGGTCCCCATCCCTCATCTGCTTTATTTTTTTTTTAAAGATTTTATTTATTTATTTGAGAGAGGGAGACACAGAGAGAGAGGGAACACAAGCAGGGGGAGAGGGAGAGGGAGAAGCAGGCTTCCCACTAAGCAGGGAGCCCAATGCGGGGCTCAATTCCAGGACCCTGGGATCATGACCTGAGCCGAAGGCAGATGCTTTAGCCGGAGGTGCATCTCTCATTAATGAAGTAGGACTTCATTGGAAGAACAGGTCTTAGGTTATGAAAAAAAAATCACCGCCTTGGAACCTGGATTGGAATTCAAATGAGTATGGAAAGAGGCAGACAGTGCAAACGGGTGGCATGGGCAGACGAGGATGAGATGGGCTGGTGGCATGTGTGGCCCTCCTGAAGGGGAAGCTTGCCCAGCTCCTCCTCTGCTCCCACCAACCACTCATTTCAAAATCTAAAGCAAAACCCAAAAACAACCTAAAAAAAAAAAAAAGCGTGCCAAAAACTCTGGCAGGACCAGCCAAGCACATACATAGGCCAGATATGGCCCAGAGGCTGCCAGCTTTCAGCCTCCACCCCATAAGGCCCCTGAGCCCCTCCTCATCTCTCTGTGCAGAATGTAGATGCACCTCGCATCAAATACATAGGACAGACCAGCATAGAGCAGTCCTGGCCTTCCTCCTCTCCTAGACAGAAAGGCCAGACCATGGTGGGCTTACTTGAGAGGTTGGCTGGTAAAGGACATGTGGGGCTGGGGGGAGGCATGGCTTGCAGAATCACACTCTCGGGCCCAGAGGGAACACTGGGCTGAAGGACAATCCCTAATCCTTCAGCCCAATGTCCCAGCACCATTTTGCAAAAGGGGGTCCAGAGAGGGAAAGTGACTTGTGCAACATGACACAGCAGCTTGGCGGGGGGTGTAGCATTTGGAATTCAGAGATGAACAGAGCCCTGGAAAAGGCCAAATCACAGAGGGTGAATGGCATGCCCCAGGGAATAGAGACAAATGTCAGAAAGTTTACGGGATGCAGGGATGCAGCATCCCCTGGTGGGGAATCAAGGGCCCCTGGAAGTCTGGTTGTGTTCTGCCTCTTGATCTGGTGTGGGCAACGTGGGTGTTCAGTTTGTGAAAATCCACTGAGGATCACCGCGTGTGTCACATTCCAATTAAAAGTTAAAAAACAAAAAACAACCAACATGGTGAGGATACTAGTCCTCTTTCAGATTTCTTTCATTCCTTCTGGTTCTCTTGAGAAAGCCTCCACTAGGTGCTAGGATGGTTCTAATGTCTCACCCCCAACACTGCTCATCTCCCTTTCTAACAAATGAAGGAAAGACCTCAGGCTTAGACCCATCAGCAGGCAAGAGTCTCTGGGTACATTTTAATAATCATTGTGTTGGGGCACCTGGCTGGCTCAGTCGGTGCAGCACAGATGCTTGATCTCGGGGTCGTGAGATCGAGCCCCACGTTGAGTATGGAGATTACTTAAAAAAAAAAAAACATTGTATTTATTTCCATGGCAAGAGATTCTGGTTTTCCATTCATGAAATTTCCATTTAAAAAACATTTATTTGAGCTGCTGAAAAAGCAAGCCAGTTCACAAGCTGAAAATTGTTGAAGCTGATAGATGGGTACCTGGGGGCTTATTTTCATGATATTCTTTTTTTTCTCCTTTTGTATCTGCTTAACATTTTCCATAATAAAATGTTTTTAAAACTGAAGCCAATTAACACAATTGTGATGTAAGTAATTGTACACAGTGGTGTGTGGATGTGTCTGAAATCGTGACGGGAGCACATGAATCACTGCAGTTGGGGAAAGCAGAGGCTGCCCTCGAACAGGACGAGGTGTGGACAGAGGCCCGGAGTCAGAGGTCAGCGCCCTCTCTGCCTCTGGTTTTCCCGAGGAACCAGGGTCCAGGCCGGGGAAGGGCGGCAAGGACCCTTCCTTCCCAGGGCTCCCCTGGTTTCCCCACAGAGAAGCAAGGCTGCCGTGGGGCTGGGAGAGGCTGCAAAGACACAGCTGAGGAAGGAAAGGGTCGGGACAATGGGCACTCGGTCTGCTCTGAGGCCTAAGGCCAGAACTGCGCCTAAGATCAGAGGGAAGGAGGCCAGAGCCAGAGCCCTCCTCCCCTGGGCCCTGGCCAAGTCACTCAGTACAAGATACCCACCCACTAAGCTGCATCAGGGCACCTGAGAGGCCATCGGATCTGACAGCCCCCCATGCTAGAGAAGAGGAAACCGAGAAGCCCAGCGGTAGTGGGGCGGTGGGGGGCGGAGGGGAGTGATTTTCCCAAGGTCATGGAGTAGTTCCCGGCCCCCAGCCCCATCCCTTGCAGAGGACCCCTCTGCCCCTGCCTTCCATGCTGCTTTCAGGCCTCTGGGCCTGCGGCTGCCCCCACCAGGCTGGAGCATGGAGGCCTGGGCCCCAGACACCTCAGGAAGCCCAGCAGTGCCCAGAAACAGGCAGGGCCCCATCTGGATTAGGGATTTGTTCTGTCTGGCCACTTCCAGCCTCCCCATCAACCTCAGCCATCCTCCCTGCGTCTGCCCCCCATCCCATACCCCCCTCTACTGGATGGCCCCTGAGTGTGTGTGTTGGGGGGCAGGGGGTAGGGCAGGCCCCTGTCAGGGAAGTTGGGATGGGGGCGGGGCCCTCAGCTTCCTGTTGTTCATCGCCCTGGGGCTCTGGGGGGGATTTCCCTGGCCACCCCCACCCCCCAGGGAAGGGGAAGGAGCCTGGGTGAGTCACAGGCCTGGGGCAGGAGCCCAAGTGTGAGAAGGGGCGGGAGGAGCCTTGTCACCAAGGTGTCGGGGCTCCGGGCCCCCCCTTCAGGCCCTGGGCCCACAAAGGTGTGTGGGACCCTCTCCCAGATGCCAACACATCACAGGACACCCTTCTCGTTCCCCTGCCCTGGCTGTTCTGATAGGTTCTTACCTTGGTGCTGGGGCCAGTTGGGGACACGGAGAATGGGGAGGTCTTATTCTGGGGGTTCTGGGAAGAAAAAGTTGGGGTGGGGAATGGGAAGGGTGAGGTGAAGCAGTTTTTGACACCATGCCCCTCCCCCACAGGGGCCCCCCCGCTCTGTTCCCTTCTCCCCCTCCCAACCCCTCCTGCTCATCCACTCCCTCCTGACCTGATGGTTAGTGTCTGGTCCATTTCTTTCAGTGTCTGCAACGAGAGGGAAAGAGTGAGTCGTCACCTGTGCCCCCCACAGCCCCGCAGCTGCCTCCACCCCACAGGCCCCCTGCCCTCCCTGCTCCCCTCCCCACCCACCTGTGTGCTCTGATGGGGAGTCCAGACCTTGCTTCTCGGCCTCCAGGGGCTTAGACATTCTTATTTCTGGGAATAGAAGAGGGGTGTAAGTGGGGTGAGGGAAGCCTGGGGGGCTCTTGGGCCCAAATCCCCCGCACCCCCTGCCACCTTGTAAGTGCCTCTTTCCAGGAGACATGCCCTCCTTACTGGGCCTCTGCCCTCCTCTGGCAGGACAAGAAAGGGATCCTTTTCACCCCTGCAGAAGGTGGCACGGGGAGGGCCACCTCCAGTGAGGCCCTGGGGCAGGGTGGGAGGTAGCCGGTGGTCATGAGAAGGCTTCGGTGCCCAGGAGGAGGTGGGTGATGTTCCACAGGAGCGAGTCAGCCTCGGGCCTCCTCCCGAGGCGCGCCCGTCCTGCCTCACCAGGTTTCGGGTGAGACATGTTTTCCACTCTGAGTGGGGCCTGGGGGTGTGAAGGGCTGCAGCATCCCCAAAGGAGTGAGTCTTCTCATCTCTGCGTGGGATTTGGCACCCCCTGCCCCTCCCGCAGCCCACAATGTTCCTGTCCACACCTGACCCCCACCTGGCTTCCCGGCCTCCTTTCTCACATTCAGCTCACAGGCCCGGCAGCCCCACTTGCCACTTGGAACTCCGACTCCAACACCACTTGGCTCTGCCCCTAACCAGGTCCTCGGACTTAATCCTAGGCCTCACCCAGGACTTAAGCCTTGAATCCCCACTGCACACCCAGATCCAAGCCGGGTGCCCCAGCCTACAAATGCAATCCCCTGCTATCGTCCGGTAAACCCAGGACATGAGGAGAGGGGGCAAACAGCAAGCTGGCCCTGGGGCCACAAAGCATTGCTCTGCCCTCACAACACTGTGATGCTGAGGAGGGAAAGGTGAGCACTTACCAGTGCTGAGCACAGTGTTAAGTATGATTCAGAGCTCACAGCAGCAGTTGGTGCTAATATCACCCCCATTTTACAGAGGAGGAAACTGAGGGCCCGAGAGCACAATGAGACAGCAGAGGTGCCCCGACTGGACACCTGTCTTCATGACTCCAGAGTTCCCGCTTCTAATCAGGACTGCTATGGTCTAGTGGGCCCCCTGCTGTGACTTCCACCCACCTCATCTCCAGCTGTCACCCCTACTCAAGTTCACCCTGACTGACGCCGACTCGAACCCAACCCTTTCTGGTCCTACACCCCACACAAACCTAGGCTTCTTCCCTAACCATTCTCAGTCCCCTTACCCACCCTGAATCCCAACTCCCACCCAGATGGTACAAGTCCTTCATCTAACCCTGACTCCTAGCTTGGCCTCAGACCTTACTCGTGACCCTGATTCTGACCCCAAGGTCTCCCCCACCACTCACTCCACATCCCTGCCTAAACCACGATGCCCTATCAAAGGGGCTGTCCAATTCAAGCGCGTTCTGCACCCAAGATATTGAAAGAAGGTCAGCTAACAAGAGCTAGGACGTCCTCAGCAAGTGGGAAAAAAAAATGTCCAGGAATTTTGCAATTGAGGGTTACCCGACATGAAACGCTGCTCTGGTTTAAAACTCTTGATTAAAAAGCCGGGTCACACACTGCTCGTGGGAGTCTAAATCGATATAAGCACAAGTCAGGAAAACTGACTAGGTGCCCCCTCCCTAGGACCCAGCACATCCACTCCCGAGCATCCTGGGGAGACAGAGGAGCGTCCTGCCCCCCAAACCCATGGGCACACAGCAGCCCCTTCCCCAAACTGGAAACAAGTCAAGGGCCTATCAGCGGATGGACACAATGTGGTATGTCCATACAATGACACGCCCCACAGCAAGAAAAGGAAGAAACTCCTGCATCACACGCACCACTGAATCTTGCAGGCACGACACCAAGGGAAAGACATCAGACACAAAAGCGGACAGACAGTAGGATTCCAATTACAGGAAGCTCAGAAACAGGCAAGATGATATCAGATGGCCAAGGTCAGATTATGGGTAACGTCTGGGGGTTGCTGACGGGGAATGAGGGTGAGGAGGCCTGCAGGGGGTTGGAAATATTCGGTATTGTCATCTGTTTGGTGGTTATGTGGTTCTATACATAGGGAAAAATGCATCAAGCTGCACCCTTAAAATCTGAGCACTTACTGTAGGTATGTTTTCACATAAAAAAAGAAAAAAATTGAAAGCTTAAAAAAAAAAAAAAGCCAGTACACAGTACTATTAAGGCATAGGCTGGCGAGGGTGGTGTGGGGAGCAGGGGCCCAGGATGCTATAGGAGCTCAGGCCCTGCTTCTAGGCGCTAGGATGGTGGTGAGTGGCTAATGATCATTTGAGGCACAGGAGGAGGGCCCAGGTCCTAGTCCCAGGTAAGAGACCACACTCCTGACTCTGGGACATCAAAGGCAGGAGTCCTGCCTAATTCCGCCTCTAAATGGCCCAGAACTTGGCCCAGCTCCCGGCAACTGCTGATGCGAGTGGGGTCCTGCATCCCACCCCTTCTAGCATCCCTGAGACCCCTGCTCCAACCCCCTCCCCAGCCCCTCCTCCCAGCCAGTGTCCATCTGGCCCCAGGGAGATCCTTCCCACAACCCGGCCGTGAACCTTTCCACAGCTCCCCATCTCCCCAGGAAAAGCCCAGATAGGGTTTTTAAAGAGGTAATCAAGTTAAATGAGACCATTAGGGTGGGCCTTAATCCAATATGACTGGTGTCCTCATAAGAGGAGGAAACTGGGATGACATAGACACACAGAAAGAAGCCCATGTGAAGACACAGGGCAAAGTCAGCCCTCCCAAGCCGAGGAGAGAGACCTCTGAAGAAACCACCCCCACTGCCACCTTGACCTTGGACTTCTAGCTTCCAGATTTCAGGAAAATTAATTTCTGTTGTTTAAGCCACCCAGCGTACAGTAGTCCGTGACGGCAGCCCTGGGAAAATAATACAGCCTCCCGCGGCCCTGCCTTCCCACTGTCCTAGCCCTAAGCCCACAGGGCCGTGGGCTTCTGTGTCGCTGTCCTTTCCCACCAGACCAGGGAGCAGGCCTGCTCTGACTCACTGCTGGCCCCCTGGTGTCCCCCAGCTCAGAAGAGTAGGTGCTAAATGTTGGCTGAACGTCCCTCCCGGCGGCTCTCTCTCTACTTGTTCCTGCCTCGGTCTTGCTGTCTGTCTCCCTCCTCCTGGAAGGCTGTCCCCCACTCTGTCTGCCTGGCGACCTCCTACTCATCCTTCAGGCCCCAGCACCCAGGCTCTGTCCTCTATGACGGCGGCTCCCTCCACTCTGGCTCCCGCTGGCCCGGCCCTCTCCCCTGGCTGTAGCCATCTGGGCCCCAGTACATCTCCCCCATCAGACTAGGACCCCTTGAGGGCAGGTCTGACTCATCTCGGGGTCCCCAACACTGCCCAGCCCAGGACGTGTGGGTTGAGTGCACAAGGGTGCCCCGAGGCTCTGATCTCCCTCCACCCTCCAGGCCTTAGCCTCTGCTCTTCTCCCTACCTGGCGACCTTTTCTTCTCCATTAGCAAACTCCTGCTCCTTTTGACAGTCCCAGCTCATACATCACCTCCTCTGTGAAGTCCTCCCTGACTCCTCAGGTGGTTAGTGTCTCTCTCATCTGGGAACCCCCTGCCTCTGCCCCCCTAACACACCCTGACCCTCTGAGCAATGGATTCCCCCTGCCCCAGACTGTGAGCTCCTTAGAGCCCAACAGCTCTGGCTGGGACTGTGTCTTTGGAATGAATGAATGCATGCAAGAATCCCTAACAGACCAGGACCCAATCTTGTCCCAGACAAGCCTCTCTCCCTGCTGCTACCTGCCACCTTGACCTTGAGCCCCATTCCCCAAGCAACTCCAACCTAAACCTTTAAAGTAATTTCTGCAGGGATAGTGGCTGAGGAGGCAAAGGTGGCATGAGAGGAAATCTCCACCACTCTGTTTCCCTTGTTCTCCCTAATTCTTCCCCCACCCCAACTCGCACACAGCCCAGGCACCCCTGCAGCATTTGGCTGGGTCGACAGCAAAATGGCCAGTGTTGCCCTTCACCCAAGCCTGTCTTGCTTTTGTTTCCTCCTGCCCCCATCAGAACCCAATCTGAGAAAAGGGTGTCATACCATCCCCACCAAGGATGAAGAGGGGACTCCATTTCCACCACAGATCCAAAGCCAAATGATGCCTTCGCATCTAAGGGCACTGGCAATCCCCTTAAGAGGCCTGCTGAGGCGCCCGTCCTGCAGGCTGTCGGCCTTGGCCCAGGCCCCTCTCTCCTGACTCTAGAGAAACACTGACACCTATTCCCACCCAGACACTCTGCTTTCAATGGGACAAGGGAAGACCTGGATATCTGGATTTTGAAAAGTCCCCACCCCTACCCCCACCAGGTGATCTAATATGCTCCAGCTCCCTGGCGCCTTCCGAAGCTCATTTCAAGGCCTCGTTCACACAGAAAGGCTGCTTGGTTATATGACCATAGTCACCCCTCCCTTCTCCCATCCCAGGTGGTATATAACTCTTTAGAGGGCCCGGCAGGAAAAAGCAATGCAGAATTCTACCGGGCCCCTTGAATCCCACCATCCTGGAGTCAGACACACCCAGGGCTACCCACACCCTTGGGGTCACACTCGCTTGCCCCACTGCCTCAGGCCTGGGACTCTGGGTCCCCTCCGCCCTCCCCACCCCTCCCTAGCCCCTCCCTCCCCGGACTTTCACTTCTCCTCTGCATTTCCCCCAGCCGGTTTTAGCAGACTTGGGCCAGCTTCTCGTTAGCACTTACCGAAAATGGGGCTAAATATAGAGGGCCCAAGGGCTGCCCCTCACCCCTCCTGGCCCCTCTTGGCCTGTCCCCTGGGTCTCCTGCCTTTAGAGCCGGCTTCAATCAAAGCTGCAGCTTGGGAGCCCCTGTGGGCAGTGTTTGCACTGCCGGGAACCTCTGTGGGCCCAGCTGGCCCAGTCCCTGCCTCCCTAGAAGCAGCACCTCACACCCCCACCGCACCACATCTGTCCCTGGGTGGCCTCAAGGGAGTGAACACTTCTGAGCCGTCAGGAGGGAGGGATGGAGAGAGAGGCAGCAGACACAACAAGAGAGGGTGGCCCCACAGCTGTGCCAGCAACAGGTAAGGGCTGCCACATTGCACACACACCACAGCCTCAGCCAGGCAGGGCTCAGACAAGGACAGAGACCCACAAACACACACAGGGACAGGTGTGCACAGACCTCAGGCAGGAATGGTTGTGGAGAAGACATACGCCCAGACACAATGACATTGGTAGAACACACACCCAGACATGTGCATGCACACCTGCACTTACACACACACAGACCCCAAATCACGCCCCGGAGTCACTCACAGATACACAAACAGACGTACATGTACATACACACATACCCAGGTCACTCAGATACACAGACACCTGATTTACTCACAGACAGACATACAGATAGATACAGATGTGCATACACACATACACTCAGGTCGCTCAGCTAGACATACACAGACACACGTACAAACACACACACACACAGTTACTCAAATACACACAGATGTGCACATACACATCCAGAGTCACTCACAGACACACAGATTGACACAAATAGGCAGACACACACATACCCAGGCCCCTCAGACAGATATACACACATATGTGTGCACACTCACACGCCCAGAATCAGCTCATCTTGGGAGATGGCCAGAGTGGACCCATGAACCCAGTTCACAGGTGCGGAGCCTGAGCCCAGGCAGGATGAGTGATCTGCCCAAGACCATGCAGTATATTAATTCACATCCAGGCAGGGAATGCAGGTGGGCCTCCCAGGCAGGGCAGTTCTGTGAGAAATCCCCAGCCAGGGGTCTAATTCAGTACTGAGCACGTACGAGGCCCCCATTCAACCCCAGACAGGGATGAGTCCGTGGTGGAGCAGACGGCATGCGGGTGCAGATACCCCAGATCTCTGGGTCTACACTGCTATGTGTGCACATACACACAGTTGCATATACAGTCACCTCAATAAGTAATCACGTGCCATCCTGCATGTAGTCTTCCCTCCATCACAACCCCCTCCCTCATCTCCTTTGCCTTGCTCATAACCACTCAACCTTCACATCTCAGACCAGACGTCCCCTCCTCCAGGAAGCCCTCTCTTACACCCCACTGGCTCAACTGGGCTCCCATGGCTCCCTGTGTCTCCAGCATCCCACCCCTGACCCCTCTCCCTGTGCCTCCTCCACTGTCTGGCAACAGGTCTGTCTCCCCCGACTGGGAACTCTAGAAGGATGGACCCGAAACTCCCTTTTTTAGTTGTATTTCCAACACCCAGCATGGAACTGCTCAGTAAATATATGTTGTTGAAGGATCCCAGGGATGCCCCCGCACACGGATGCAGATAGGATGGCCCACGGCAAACCAGGACTCATCCCCACAGACACTCACGAATGTGACACACACCAACACTCACGCCTATAAGGCCGCAAACGAAACAATCACGCAGTACTGACGCTTGTTCTGTTCCAGGCACTGTGTTAAGCATCTACACACATTACCTCATTTAACTGTCCCATCAACACTGCTGGGAGATGACTATCATTATGCACAGATAGACACATTTTACCAAATGAGCCAACAAATACAAATCATCTTGTATGGTGCCTGGCACCCAACATCCACTCGGTGAACTGATATATGATACATTTTCAGGCGGTGATAAATGCCATAAAGGAAAGACAAAGCAGGGGCAAGGGGACTGAGAACGGTGGGATTGGTTGCCAGTCCAGGCACAGAGGTCAGGGAAGGCCTCCCTGAGGAGGTAACATCTGAGACAAATGAAGTGAGGCAGTGAGCCAAGAGATCATTGCCAAGGCGAGCCCACAATGCCACACACACATGACAGGCACACTCGGAGGGCTCAGATCTACCACTCACATACACTCACATACACACGTGCACAGAAACTCACACACACTGAGAAGTGCTGCAGTTCAGTGTTCCCACCCCTTTGCAGCCCCCACCCAAGAAGCCCACCCACTGATCCTCCATACAAGAGCTTGCTACCAACACCGGGGCTCCGTCCTCCCCGCCCCCCAGAGCCCAGAACACTGCAGCACAAATGAGGGGGGAGATGAGAAGCCCCCAGGTGTCTGGAGTGGAAGGGAAGGGGAAAGAGGAGATGAGGGTGGGGACCGGACCCAGGGTGGGAAAGGGGGAGCTGCTGAGGTACAGAGTGAAAGCAACTAAGAGGAGACAGCTAAGGAGGAAGGGCAGGGCAGGCAGAGGGCACTGGCCCCAGGCCCCTTACCTGGAGCCCCCATGCTGGAGTGAACCATGCTGCCCGCCCCGCAGGGCTGGGGGAACAACTGTGTCATCTCCCCGCCCTCTCTGGGGGCCAAGCCCTCTCAGCCGGAAGTCACCCGGGGAGGAAACCACAGGGTCCGCCCCCTTCAGAAGGGAAAATACTCTGGCCCAAAGGCCCACCTCAGGAGGTGGCAGACCCCAAACCATGTGTGTGTTGGGGAAGTGGCGGTAGTGGGGCACAGGATAAACAGACTCTCTGGGAGGTGCTGCAACAGCAGCCCCAGCCCTCCAGCGGCCTCCACCAAGGCAAACACATCTGGAACAGGGCATATGGGTCTGGGAGAGAGGGTGGGCCCATGACAACACCAACAACACTTAACCCTGGCTAGAAGTTTTTTTTGGGGGGGGGGGGCTTTCCCAATGCCAGGCTTGACAGGCGCACTTGACAGGCACCATCTCTTGAGGTGATCACTATTTGCCCCGCTTTACAGACGAAAAGACTGAGGGTCAGAGAACTGAGGTGGCCTTTCCGAGGGCCCAGAGCCAAGAAGTGATGAAGCCAAGAAGCAGAGCGGGAGGAGACGTTTGTGGTGGGCGTCCTGCAAGGCTGTGGGAGGGGAGGTACCCAGCCACGCACCTGTCGCCAGGTGAGGCGTCCGTCCGCTGAGAGGAAGCGGTGCCCGTGGGCAGTGGCAGTGCGGGAGACGGGGCGGGGCCTTGGCCCAGAGTGGCAAGACGTCCACCAGGGGGCAAATGCGGACGCCCGAGGCGGTTCGGGTGAAGAGAGCCCCGGGTCCCCTGACTGCCCGCAGGCCTTTCTCAGAATTGCGTTCCCGGCCCAGCATTTCCCTCCGCGCCCGCCAGAGGGCGGCAGCGCCCAGCCAATAGGCCGGAGGGCGGGGCCGGTTGCGGAGGAGAAAGCCCCTCCCTCCGCTCCCCTCTCCGCCCCCCCCCGCCCCCGCGCGCACACCTGCGAGGGTCACACAAAGGCGCAGGACTCCCCGCGCACGGCGGCGCAGACAAAGGCGCGGCCGAGTCCTCTGCCCTCTTCCTCCTGCCCGCGCCCGGTCCGAGGCTGTCAGGCCACCTGGCGCCTCCAAACAGCCCGCCGGCCCGCGCTAGGCCCCGCAGGACTCGCCGCGCCCACGCTGAGAGACACCCCCAAACTACACGCGCGCACACGGACACCTGGACTCACCCAGACAGACACATACACTCAAGTATTTACACACATGGGCCCCAGAACTTCACACACACGTGTGCACACGCAGACACACGGGAACCCTCCGCTATGTGCCCAGGGTCCGACACCAACCCTCTCTACCCACCATCCGTGACTCCTGTGTACAGAAACCCCTCTGCTCCCTCACGTGGGCACAAGGGCACATCTACACGTGTGTGCCCAGGCGCGCCTCCGGCCACGTGTGCCCACGCTCACACCCATGCACACTCGGACAGGACAGAACACACAGGCAGACCTTCATGAGTGCCCTTCCTTCTGCACACAGGCCCTGTGCACCCAGACACGCCCAGGCAGGCAGGCGGGCCCACTCATTGGGGATGACCGGCACATTTTACATCTGTACACAGAGGGGACAGTTCCCAGCCATCTACACTCCACAACATCCCATTTCATAACAGCTGTTTCAGTGAGGAGATCCTGAGACCACACAGCATCAACCCAGCTTCAAATCAGACCTCCTGCCTCCTAGTCCACCCCATCTCTCTTTCAGATGCAGGGTTTCTGTACATGACGGCTTTCCGGACAGCAGTCTGGCTGGTGGCAGTGAGTACTGGAGTCTTGTCTTGACCCTGTAAGGTTCTGTTTTGATTTAGGATTTATATCTTGAGGGGCTTGGAAATTAGGGTCACAAGGACATTATGGGGGGCCAGAACCCTACCAAGCCACCCCCGTGGTCCACCATGGACATAGTCAATGTCATCCATGTCAAGTACACGCTTTTGGACACGACTGGGTGTCAGCCCCTTAGGGTGAGCACGAAGAGAAGTACCAGCCATTTCTGGCACTGCCCTCCCAGGTCTGTAGCTGAGTGGGGAAATGAGGGAAGGCCTCAAGCCCTCCCCCAAGGGATAAAATCGCCCTACACCTCTTGCCTCCCAGGCCGACTGAGTCCCTGAGCTGGAGTCAGGAAGTGAAAGAAGAATGGGTCTGAGATGTCTGCCTGCTGGGAGAGGACAGAGGGATAGGGTTTGGGGCCACTGGGTGGGGAAGGCCTGGCAGCCAGGAATGGGAGGCCCAGGCAGGGTGGGTAGTGGCCTCTCAGCCAGAGAAGAGGCCTCAAGCCATGTTGAGCAAGGCAGGTAGAACATGGGAGCTGGGGAGCAGTGGGGGCCTCTCGGGGTGCGGGGAGCCTGGGAGGGAGGCGGTGTAGGGGAGGCCAGGCTGGGCTCAGGGCTGAGCGGTAATTAAAGGAGACGTAGGGGGCTCCCCAGGGCCAGCGGGGCTGGTAACTGACACGCGGGCCCCATTGCTCTGCTCATATTTCTCACCGGATCGATACGTTTGACTCCCGACAAGACAATAATCGCTTGTACGCGGCCGGCGAGTCGATCAAATACATTATTAGAGCGAGGTCCCCTGGGGGCCCGGCGGGGAGTTGGGGGGGGGAGCAGCCAGCCCACCGGGGACAGCAGAGCGGGATTCTTCACCCCTCAGGGCCCCCAGCCATGGCCTCTTCCTCTCTCTTGCCTCTGGGGACCCTCTCTGTGGCTTGGTTCCCCAGCTTCTTTCAGGATTCCCACTGTCTCTGGTGACCTCTCCACTCAGCCCCCAATATGTCCCTGCTCTGCGTGGGGACCCAAGGGGTCTTTCTCCACAAGTGCTGCCTCATCTTAGGGCTGCGTGTGTGGGAGCTCAGAGAGGCCCCTCAGACCCCCAGCTTGGCAGGAGACAGGAAGACAGGGATGCAGGCCACACTGAGTCAAGAGCTGGGCCAGGAGAGGAACTGGTGATTCATTGATACCAACCTTCCTCTGCATCTCAACAGTCGGCCTTCAGCAGAGAACAGGCTGAGCAGCCTTTGGGAGGCGGGGGGAGGGGGGGTGTCAGGGAAGACTGGCTTAGGGACCCAAACACATAGGAAAACAGGATAAGGAATGGCAGACAGACGCAGAGACAGAGAGGTGTCTGGCTAGTCCTACTGCAAGGCCGTCGTCCAGTGGGCCTCAGATACTCTCGAACCAAACCGAGCCTCGTCCTACCCTGGGCACTGTTTGCCCACCTCTTCCCCCACCTTCCTGGTGTCTGGGCTTGAGCCTTCATTTTCTGTTTACACACCTACTTCACCCTCCACCCTGCCCTCAAAACTGCTTCTCCAGTGGCCATGAGTCAAGGTCAAGCTGCAACCACCCCATGATCTGCTTCGCAGCACCCAGCATCCAGGGACTTAAAAATATTTCTTCTTCACCATCATCATTGCCACCAGCAGCAGCAGCAGCAGCAGCAGCAGCAGCTCTGTCTACTTTGTGCTCGTTGAGCCAATACATTATTTCTAATTTTCATGACAATTTGAGAAAGTAAGGTCTATGATCATCTCCATTTTACTGATGAATTAGAGCTCAGAGAGGTGAAGGCACTTGCCCCACATCACACAGCATGTGAATGGCGGAGTCAGGATTCAAACCCAGACCTGTCCTCCTCACAGCTTGCTCTCTCTCTCTACTGCATCATGGGCCTCCTTCGAGCTTTGAAATGCTCCCCGTCCTCCAGTGGACAGCAGGAAGCCCGCTCAGGAGCACCAAATCCCATCACGGCCCACAGCCCCACTCCCGCAGCCCTTAGTCTTGGTATTCAACAATGCAGTGGATTCCCTCTGACTCATCAGCTCCTGGCTGAAGGTAGGCCATCCCTTCCATGTCCTTCGATTCAGACATTTCCTGTGTGTCCCCTGGTGCCAAACCCTGGGCTAGGGCTGAGGACCTAGAGATGAGCTGGGCTGAAAGCTGCCCAATAATCTGATGGAAGACAGAGGGTGGTGTGGTACAGAAGGCTTGTGAGGAGGTGGCATTTATGCAGCAGTCAGGTCTTCTTGAGGCAAAAATGTGGGGAAGCGCACTGCTGACAACAGGAACAGAAAAGGTGGAAAGGGAGGCGTGGATGGCTTGGTGAAGGGCAGACAAGGCAGATAGAGGAGACAAGGTGGAGAGGCAAAGCCAGACCCCAGGGCCTTGCAGGCCAGGCACGCATTTTGGATTTTACTGCAAGCACAGCGGGATGCCACCGAGACGGTCTTAAGCAGGGAAGTGATGTGGTTCTGTGAATGTTTTGTGGACAATTCAGGCCACTGTGGGAGGCCAAAATGAAGGGCTGGAGTGTGAGGGAGGTCAGCCATGAGGAAATGGGTAGTGTCCACGTGAGATGGAGGGGATGATGGCTGGGACCAGGGTGGTGGGGGTGGGGGAGAAGGAACAGGTGTTCCTAGAAGCAATTTTGAGAGTAGACCCAACAGGATTGGTGATTTGCTGAAGGTGGGGTGGGTGGGAGTGGGGGGAGGAGTCAAGGATGAAGCCCAGGAACGCAGAAGCACCTTTCCCCACCTTCGAAAGGTTGAAGAGAAGGGAGACCTCAAGCTGGGATGAGAAAGATCTGGGCAGGGTGCCATACATGCCTTGAGGCTGGATTTGATGTTGTAGGTGGAAGACTTTTGAGCAGGGACAGTGTGTGTAAGAGAGATCCGTGGCATGAGGACAGGCTGGTGGGTGGAATCTGGAGACAGGATGAGCAGAGAGAAGACTGGGACAATGGGCGAGATGACAGGGAGGTTGGAGCCGTGAGGGTCCACGTTCATGCGAGATTCTACAGGACTCTTGTGGGCCTGTGTGGACGACTGGGCACGTGGCTGGGTAAATACTGAGACCATCACCGGTAGACAATGGGAAGGAAAGCAGATGCCCAGGTCAGTGCCGGGGGCAAGATTGGGAAGAGGCGTGTCAGAAGCAGCGAGGTCTACGGACCAGGAAGCCGGCAGATGCTTAATAAATTCACATGGACACAGCATTCTTTGCTGTATCACCCTCAACCTCGTGACGCCAATTTCCGAAAACCTGCCAGA